GTGTAGCTTCCTTCTTGTGGAACGTTGTAGGGATTATTTTTCTTCTCTTTGCTGTTTAACATATATATGAAGCCACTGGGAGAGGTCATTTAGTGGTTTGGGGTGCACAACCATCAATAGGTTGATGATACGCAGCTTTATATGGCCACTGGAGGCCCAGCTGGAGGTTGTATCAAAGTCTGGTCCCAGTGTCTGGAGGCTCAGGGATGTAGATGAAAGAAAACAAGCTGAAACTGAATCTAAGTAGGCCAGAGTTAATGTTTATTCAGTTCAATGTTGCCTCTCAAGGGATTGGCACTTCCCCTGAGGGAGCAGATCTGTGATTTCTGGGTCCTCCTGGGCTCCTGGCTACTACTTTTATTGGGCAGGTGGAGGCTTGGCCAGGAAGAACTTTGTCCAGCTTCGGAGAATGCACCAGTTGTGCCCTTCCTGAAGCAGATGTTCGTGTCCTCTCAGTTAGTCTTCTATAGCGTGCTCTACATGGGATTGCATTTGAAGATTACTCATAAACTACAGTTGGTCCAAAACACAAGAGTCTGAATTCTGGCTGATGGTGTTTGCCTTGCATTAGTTATCGATTAGCTTCCAAGTGCAATTCAGAGTGCTGTTTTTGACTTACGAAGACTTACATTCATTCATTCATTTAAAGGTTGCCCAACTCCATGACTCTGAGTGACTTATAGGGTTAAGAACAATAAACAGTAACTGCAAAAGACAGACCAAGCACTTCTGGGAAAAAAAAATACTTAAATAAAATTTTACAGGGTCTCTGCACCCACCTTAACCCAGGGCTGGAGGAACTGCCAAGTATTCTGTGACTTCTTGAATATCGTGAGAGTGGGAACCATATATATCTCGGGGGGGGGGGGCAAGTGTTGTGATAGAGAAGGCACATTTTCTAGGTCCCAGTAGATCACACTGTTTAATTGAAGGGATCTGGGGCACACCCATTCTGTCTGATCTCACAGGACTGGCAGAAGTGATTAGAGACAGGCAGTCCGTCAAGTAATCAGGCCCTATACATTTAAGGTCTTTATAGGTGGTGACCAGCACTTTGAATTGTATCAGGAAGCCAACTGACAACCAGTGCAGCTTGTGGACAGCGGTGTCACATTGGCATACCAAGGCATGCTCATTTCTCATGCCACCACATTCTAGACCAGCTGTAACTTCCAAATGGTATTCAAGGATAGCCACTTGTAGAGCACATTTCAATAGTCCCCTTGTGAAATGAGTAAGGCATGACTTACTGTCTGGAATGCCTTCCAACCCAGCTGAAACTACACAAAAGCCTTCTTGGTGTCAGCCCCACTAGGCAGACCAGACCATGAAATCAGCTCCACAGGAAGGCTGTGGAGATTTATTGAGATTGGCTATAATAACAGAATCTTGCAAGTCTGATTGTACTGCATATCCCCTCCTTCTTATAGTTCAGTGAATTAGGGAGGTGTCTATCTGAGTAGCTTCTGAATGTTATCTGGATGTTCTGGACTTTAAAAAATATAATTTATTTATAAGCCACCATGAGTCAGTTGCAATTCAAGTTTAATAAGTAAAGGGATGAATCTAAGTATCTCAATAGAGCATGCATGCGTGCACCCACCCATCCCCATACATGTACAGTACTGTGCAAAAGTTTTAGGCAGGTGTGAAAAAATGCTGTAAAGTAAGAA